GATAGATAGATAGATAGATAGATAGATAGATAGATAGATAGATAGATAGATAGATAGATAGATAAAGATTAGAGGACAAGCTTCTTCGGAAACATGAACACAAGCCGACCGTGATTAAAAGTTTCTATAAATGCAAGTCCTGAGTTCATGGTTTAACTTCTCCGAGCTTCCAACGTCGAATTTTACATGAAAACGCAACCGGTCCTAATAGGGATGGTGTTGCAGTGCGAATGCGTTTGTGAAACCAAGTCCTTCGAAGTGGGTCGTAAAAAGTTCACTCACCTCGTCGGAAACGACTGACTTCGGATGTAATCGCAATGGATTTGGAAGATCTTCGACAATTCCATCGGGCATATTTCCCTATTCTTTTGGTGTTTCTGCTCTCCTTTTTGACGCCACGAGGGCATCGGCCTTCTCGAACGGAGGCGCAATCGGATGAAGCCGACTTGCTTTGGAGAAATCGAGTCGAGCCCAATCATTCAGACACATTTTTAAGTCCCCTTCACATCCGACGCCAGTCGAAGATATGATACAGGCCTGAGCTCACCTGATGTTGTGCCAGTCAGCCGAGCACGCAGCCTGCAATTATTCCACCGAACATACGCCCTCCGAGTGGGACTTTGGAAGAGCGTCGAGTTGGCTTGCTCTGACCTCCTCCAACTTAATCTCCCAATACCCTCTTCTGTCAATACTATACGTCCCGGCAATTACATGTTTATAACCAAACTTTGCTGTTCATTCATCTCCCGTCTACCATTTGCCTTTTCTTGAGTTGGCCTAATCCTGAACGATCAAGTGGTCTATGATCTCATAGGCAGAGGAAGAGGAAAAAGTGATAATTGATGCGTAAACTCGAGAGCTGTGGTCGCGCTGCCCCTGTTTTCCCATACCATCGCTCGCGGGCTGATCGTCAGGTCAAACTCTTCCATTCTGAATAATGGCAAAAGAGGGGATGTACTGTGAAAGAGATGGCGATGACCGGGTGGCGATCAACCTTAGCCTGAGGCAGAAAGGGATCAGAGCTTAAATTTCCC